TAATAAAGGGCAACTTCAATTATCCCCAAATAGACCAGGTGAATCTAACCTCAGGCCAGGATAGAGACCAAATTTCTTGACATTATAAAGGACTGCTTCTGGAGCAATTAGACCTAGAATGTACAAGAGAAAAAGGCATTCTTGACATAGTCCTAAATAATGCACACAATTTGGTGGAAAGAGTAAGTGTTATGGAGCTGCTTTGTAATAGTGACCACCTTGCAATTGATTTGACATCCATGTAGAAGGGGAGATAAGAAGAAAATCCAGCACAGTAGCCTTTAACTTTAAAAAGAAAGCCTATACCAAAATGAAGAAGCTATTTAGACAGAAGTTAAAGGGGGACTCTAAGGAGGTGAAGAACTTGCAAGCAGCATGGGAACTGCTTAAGAACGCCATATTTGAGGCACAAAGCAGATGCATGCTAAAAATCAAAGAGAGGAAAGCAGACCAAAAGGAAGCCAGCATGGTTTAATGGCAGACTTCTAGAGACAACAAAAAGGAAAAAAACACTTCTTTCAAAAGATGGACGTCAAATCATAGAATCATAGGAAGTTAGGGTTGAAAGGGACCTCAGGAGCTCATCTACTCCTGAAGGAGCTCAGATCAGAAATTGCTGAACTCCAAACTGTAGCTTGCAACTTATCACTAAAAATAGCTTCAGTATCAGAAGACTGGAGGGTTGCCAGTGTGATTCCAATATTTAAAAATGGCTCCAGAAGAGATCCAGGGAATGACAGGCCGGTGAGCCTAACTTTTATTCCTGAAAAACTGGTAGAAACAATAATAAAAAAAGAATTGCTCAGAACATGGGTGAACATGACTTGCTAGGGAGGAATCAGAGAAATCATGCCTCACCCAAGTTATTAGGGTTCTTTGAGGGTGTCAGTAAGCAGATGGATCAGGGTGATCCAACTGACATAGTATATCTGGACTTCCAAAAAGCCTTTGGCAAGGTTCCCAAAAGGCTCTTAAATGTGAGTGAGGTAATCATGGGATTACAGGGAAGGTCCACTGATGGATTAGAAATTGGTTTAAGGATAGAAAACAGTGGTCAGTTTTTTGGAAGGAAGTGAACAAAGGGGTCCCCAAGGGATGTGTGTTAGGACTGGTGATGTTTAACATACTAATAAATCATCTGGAGAAGAGGGTGAGTAGTGATGTGGCCAAATTTGCAGATGACACAAACTTATTCAAAAAAAGTAAAGACCAAGGTTGACTGTGGGAACTACAGAAGGATCTTGCACTATTTTACAAACTAAATGGCAGATGAAATTCAATGGACATAAGTGTAAAGTGATTCACATGGGCAAAAATAACTTGAACTATACCTATATCATGATAGGGTCTACTATAGCTATTACTACACAAGAAAGATCTGGAAGTCTTTGCGGACAGTTTGCTAAAACCAACAGCTCAGTAGCCATCAAAAAAGCAAACAATATTAGGGATTATTAAGGGAACTGTAAACAAAAATGTATAATTATGCCCCTTTATAAACGCATGGTGCATCCACACCTTGAATACAATGCCCAGTTTTGGTTCCTATATCTCAAAAGGGGTATAGAAACACTAAAGAAGGTACAGAGAAAAGCACAACAAACGTAAAAATGAAACTAGTAGGTAATAAGTTTAACAGTTACAAAAGGAAGTTTTTTCCTCACACAGCATGCAAGTGAAGTGTGGAGTCCATAGCCGTGGGATGTTGTGGAAGCTGGATCAAAAAGGGATTGGACAAATTTTTGGAGGAAAGGGGCATTAGTAACTATTGAACATGGGAGCTAGAGGTACAGCCTCTGAAGAATCAAAACTTCCTAGACTTAAATGCTGGAAGCTGCAAATGGGAGAGAAACAGGAAAAACCCTTGTCGTACCTTGTTCACTCTCCCTTTGAGCATCCACCCTGCCACTGTGACACAGAATACTGGGCAAGATGGACTTATGGTCTGACCCAGTAAATGCCAGTTCTTATGTCCTTAAATGTTCAGCTTATAAAAGGAATAACTAAATGGATAAGTTTTCACATTATAAATGTGAACCAGATACAAGTGACTATTTGTGAGCGCTGGTTCCAGTTTCAGTATTTTCTTGTGATTGTGCACGTTCAAAATCAATAGAATGTTCTTTGGATACAAGCCCCCCATTTCTCCAGTAATGCAAGTTTAACATGGCCCTGGCATAACATTTTAATTTCCACCCTTAAAACAGCAAAATCAATTCCATTACTCCGTAGTTAGAGCCACACCCCCTCTACAAGTGGGACAACTTGTCTCTTCAAAAGATAAGCATAAGCAGCAGCCAAACCATTTAAAAAAAAAAGAAAATGTTACATGAACTACAAAATAGGAAATATAACTGTTCTAGTTTTTTAACAGATGTTTTCAATGGAACCCATGTACAGCAGGGTAGCAAACAGAGGATTATGTATGATTTGTCCTTGATGAGGAAAGAATGAGAGTTTACTCATGGGTAAGTGAATCTGTTTCTTTGTCTGTTTCTGAACTGTTTGCTTCCAAGCTGTGGTTGTGACAAGGGCAGAGACCTTCTAGCTGACTGTGTGCAGGTTTCCTTCCTCTGATGATGGATAGTTAAAACTGCCAAGGACAGAGCTGACCTAGGCAAAAACCACTATGCCAAAGGTGTGATGACTGCAGGACAGCAAACAGATGAGTTTGTGGGTGGGTCTTTTCTTTTTTAGGTTAGGAAACAGGAAGCAAAGATGGTGAGGGCAATTAAGTCAACATGGGTGGTGACGCAAAGAAGACGACAAGGCAATGAGGATAGCCAGATGCAGAACTGCTGCCTTTAAGCAGCTATTTGATAGATGTATGCAAATAGAACCTGATAGAGCCCATGGAACTGTGAAACGAGATGTGGCTGGAGAAAGAACAGGAGTTCAATCAACTGGAGCATAATGGAAGAGGGGACTTGTAGGGTCAAGATTTGCAGATAGCTGCTGAACACAGGATCCAGAGAACACAAGAATAGATGAGGAGGTTGACTCATAGAAGAGCATGATCACAACGAGACAGAGATGACACTGGCTAGTAAAGAAAACAGGTAGAGAACAGATTTGCTAGGGAAGATGGGATGACAAAGAGAAGGGAAGCCATACCAAGAAGAGATGATGGAGATAATTGGGGAACTGTGTCCAGGAAGGTGAGTAGACAGTCACACCACCACCAGGAAGAGGCTAGTGTATGTAGTTAGGAACTCTTACCAAGATTACAGGCCTATCACAAAAGCCAATCCAGAAAACAGAAGGGCCTACACTGTCATGAGCAAGGACCCAAGAAGTTGACTTGAGACTAAAAAAATCCTGGTGGTAGTGGATAAGGCTATATTCACTGTTAAAGGCATTTGATCTGATATAAAGGACAGACTTCTTCTGGAACAGATTAAGCCCAACAATGCCAGGCTAAGCATGATGCACCCATGTTCCTAAATTAATGAAGTAATCTAAGTGGCATTTGGCATGGCTTTTTCACTCATTGGACTTGCAATAAATTCTCGTTTGATTGCATAATAAGCTTGACTTGTGCAAATTATATTATTCCTTTTTGTATCATATTTGGCAAGCTGTAACACATGCTAAGCTCCATCTCACTGGGACCAATGGACTCCAGCTTAAGGAGACAGACAAGAACAAAAATATCGACAACAGTGAGCAAATTATTAAAAACATCATTTTCCAACATACTCACAAGGAACCCTGTTACTTCCACTTAAACTGCTGTATTCTGATGAGTTCACTCTGGCAGAAAAGCAGCAGTTCTGGCTAGAACTATGCTGCAGTTTATAGGAGCAACCTAGAAGATAAAGATCTATACCCTATTAGCCATTTCTGTGGTCTCTGTGGAAATGATTAACCCAACTCTCTCTGTGAGAAAAAATAAGATGAAGAAATATGAGTAAATCTTTCACTATTTGTGTCTAAAATCTAAGCTGTAGCTCCCAGGACCTCTATTTCCAAGCCTTACTGTTGACACCACTCTCCCAAAATGAATGGACATCAAAATTTATTTTAGTGTCATATGTAAAATTAAAAATAAAACTATCAGCTTTAGAGGAAAAATTGTTTAACACTAGGTGTTTTAGGAAAAACACTGAAAAGAGAAACCAGCAAAAAATTCTGGCCAGTAGGAGCAGCTGCAGACACGGCCAAGCAAGGACATTCAGAAATGCTTTTCAGAACTGCAGAAGTTTCTTCAGGCTTCCCCTGCCATGTACTGACTGAATGTTTGCATCAACCTCTCTTTGCAAGGAAAAAATTAGATCTCTTTAGTGCAGCTTTAACCCCATCTTTTCCCCTAACCCTGCCTTCCCTTTTAGCATCACCTTTCCCTTCATTCTTGTTTCCATTACACTTACCCATCCTAACTAATGCCTCCTCTTCCTTCTGCAAAAAAAACAAACCATGCTTGCATACAACATTTGGCCCTTTTGCATTCTTCACTAGATTTGCACATGTAATACCTCCTCCCCTGTTCTATATATGTCTCGTTTCTTAAACTAAGCTCTTCAAGTTCTACTACTCTGTGGGCATTTGTACATGTGCGCTTTAATGCACAGTAGCCTATTTTATTGTGCATTAGAGCCATCATGGCAAAAACTATGCTAATTGGTTAATGCACAGTAAAATTAGGCTACTGTGCATTAAGCGTCACTACAAAACCATGAGCTTTTGCTAGTGCGCATTAGGGCAGTCTAATGTGCATGTACTTAGTACCTCATATTAGAGGTACTAAATTTAATTCACAGTAGCGAAAGTGCATTAAAGAGCATGCAGATGTATTATCAATTGAGAAGGTATTGTGCAATCTAACTCTTTCGTCAGTACCACGCACTGGTAAATATAGAACATTTCAAGTTTCTGAAAATGTTTTAGCAGAGAAGGCAGACAATGGTTTTTATATGTACATTTACATATGTGAATTATTCTTTACAGAAAGTCTAATCACAAACTGTTACCAACACAGAAACAAAAAAGTAGGCAGGGCAAAAAGTTGAATGAGCATCAGCTCTTTCCTTTTTAATGAAGAAATAGTTCAAGTTAATATCAGTGCATATTAAGAAATAGCATAGAATACTCCCAACACCTGATCTACATCAGCAAATTACAGTTTCAAAAAATTTATAAATTAATTGAAAGGAAAAAATTCTGTAAGAGTAGCCAGGAGAACAACATTCAAAATAAACATACCAGTTAGTTGGATGGCATTGATTATATTCCAGACAGATTGATTATTTTTGTCTTTAAGATCTCAAAATAGCAGGTATTCTGCTACAAGTGAGTTAGGCAGTTTGCATTCTCTTTTTCTTGTACAGCTAAGTGTTATTCTTAATTTTTGACTGTCATATAAAAATGCATTTAATCAGGTCAAAGTGAAGATTCATTTTAAAATTTACTTTTCATATTTCAAAGTCAGAGTAACATGGGAATGCTGCATTCCAGTCATATCCACTGAGAAAAGGCCAAACTGTCTGGGGGGCACATTTGGCTACAATATAAAATGGTCTTTTTTATCCTAGTTGCAGAACCTCATTAATAATACTGTTTTCCCAGTTTTAACATGGTTCATCATTGCGAAAGAGCACAGCACAGAGCTGCAAACTGAAAGTTGTACTGTTTAAGGTGAAATCATAAATATTCTTCTATAAAATCCTAAGAAAAATATATATTAAAAGCAATACCTTGTTCAATTATTCTGGCTATGGTGGATTTTGAAAAATTTAGTTATAGTTTTAAGATGCCTATCATTTTAATGCACACTGAGCTTTATGCAATACGAATCCCATTAAATTTAATAGGAAATGCACTTTTAAAGCTTTGGAGAAGAGATATAAAAATATCTTCTAGGTCTTGCATTCTGATACAGTGAGGCTAAGTTTCCAAGGCAAGAAGATGCAGGATCTAATCCCAACCTCAACCCTGTGCTAACAGCCTATTCCCTTAACATAAAATAAAATTTTCCCACAAAGAACACACAACAGCCCCAAGAATCATAGGCCAGCTGACAAATAAAATTTCAAGTTGGTGAAATACTGATAAGATATGTAATTCTTTCACTAGTATTCTACAGTGCAATCCATATCAACACCATTACCTTCAATCCAACTGAAGTGAAGTGTGCAGCAGCTAGAATCCTGTGAAAGTCTAGTATAATAATAATAGCACTAAAATGATCCCTTGACTGTGAAATATTAGGCTAAAATAAATCAAAGATTAGTAGCAAAGGCACATGCTTTAAATTTAGCAGGAACATCTGAATGTTCCTTGTTACCATAATATATACTCCTGCTTTAATAATAGTAATACAGTACTACTATTTATTTGCTTCAAGATAATTTTGAGGTAACAAGAAACTTTGGAATGTTCACCATTCTTTATGGCACATACACACTATAATGTTCTAGTAACTTAGCTGAATTTTTCAAGAAGCTACTTACAATTTAGACACAAGGTAGACTATAATCTGGCTAGGTCACACTTAAAACTTAATATTTCATTATGCTGAATACATTCTTTTATGCACAGACATTGGGTGCACAAAATAAGCTGCCTCTTCAATAAAATTAATGAATGTTTTGCGTATGTAAAATAAATTCTAACAGCTACTAATGCAATATAATCAAAAGATCATGCACTAGATAAACAGAGCTTCTTCCCCATGAACGCAAGTTCTTAGCAATCTTTTTTCTGACTTGGGTAATATTTCATGATTTATTAGTCTAGTCTTTACATTTTGAGGAACATTATTTAGATAAAACTGAAAAGAAAGATAACAGAAAACATCTGTTTTGTTTTTTGTTGTGATGCAGCTAGGATCTCTCTTATTGAGTTACTGCAAGAAACTGAAGAAACAACAACCACTACGAATCAACATTAATGATGTCAAAATAATAAATATACACCTTAAATTAATCTCCAGAAATATATTCACTGGGTCTACTTAAGTTACATTTATACAAATATATACTTGAGTAGTCTGCTGTATATAGAGGTGAATATTAGGTTCATGGGGAAGGCTATGTGTAATATAACTCAGTTTATCTGTCCTTTATACAGCGAAAATCAGTAGCAAAATTGGAAAACTACATATATATATTCCCTCAACCAATTGTGTAGAGGCTTAAGTCAAAAATTCAAAATTTATCCAATGTTCAATCAATAAGGCTTTATTTATATTACTTTATAAATTCAGGAAAAAAAAGTTTGCTGCTATGTGCAGAAGATAGCACATTTCACTGACCAGAGACCAGCATTTACTTATGGTTTAATACTAACCCACAGCCAACCAATTAGAGTCCCATATATCCATGTTTTTACATAAAGTTTCCTTCCAGATTCTGTAAGAAGCATGCTAGCCGTCAGGCTACCTAGAAACAGTAAGGACGGTAACGTTTTCTTCAGGCTTAGTTTGGAATGAACACCTTTTCCAGGGAACTTATTTCTTCTTTTAGAATCCTTTGCATCATAAAATTCTATTAGCAACCTAGGAGCAGATAAAAAGTGGAGACAAAGTATGTGTTAGTACAGCTAAAGCCATTTTCTGTCACTTAACAGCTTTATATCCTAGATTACATCATCTACCAAACACTGCATTTTTGGCATTCAACATAAATAAGATGTGCACCTTGTTTTTTGAAAAGCAGAATGAAAAAAATGTTTTTTTCCATGGAAATGAGTGGTAAGTACAGTATTTTCCCAGAGAAAACACAGGCTGCTGAGGTTGGTGGGGTGGAGGGGTAAAACGCTGGGGGTACTCTGTTAACCTCATAGCTGTTGGACGCTGGAGCAGCTGTTGGCTGAGCCAAACTGCCCAGTCTCTCTTCTCTGCTTGAACTCACCTGGGTGGGCAGCCAGCAGTGCCTGCCAGGTGAGGTGAGGACCTGATCCTAGCCTGCAGCTAGAAGGCAGATGGGGCCCATCCAGATGGTCCAGCAGAAGCCTCTACTCCAGCACCAGGGGCTCAGCTCTTCTTTAGACATCCAGAGATGCCAAGTCCTGGGTGCCAGGGCAAAGACTCCTGTTGAGTCAGTAGCAGCTTCTGCAGCATGAGCCTCTCCTTAGGAAAAGAGAAAGTGTCCACAGCCAGCACCTGGGGAGCTGCATGCACTCACTGTGCTGCCTCCATGAAGCACTGCTTTCTCCTGGCAGAGACCTGTGCTACATAAGCTCCTAACATTTCTTTGCTTAAAATGTGCATCCCAATTTCTAGCAGCTGATTTCTTAGAAAAACTTGCATATTGTATACTAGAAAATACTGTATTTAATTCAAGTGTTTCATAGTTTCATAGTTTCTAGGGTCGGAAGGGACGTGGGCAGATCATCTAGTCTGACCCCCTGCCATGGCAGGAAAGAGTACTGGGGTCAAACGACCCCAACAAGGT